TCGATACCATTCATTTTGTAGCCACCTATTTGAATCCTCCGTCTAAAGATTTACATGAGTTACAATTGAGATACGATCGGCATCAGGTACTAAAGAAAACGACGAACACTAACATGAACTAGTGTGTAAATTTCAGATTCCGATTGATATCGTGAACGATGCTCAGAAGCTTCTGGACGATTTGGGAAAAAGTGTTGAGGAAATGAGATATCAGGCGCCACCACAAAGCCAACCACCTGCACGTCATCTCACTTTCCTTCAACGTACTCTGGGCGGATCAAGCGCCCCAAAAAGCAGTTCGCTTCATCAAGAACAGCAGCAATACGAGAGAGACACCAGAAGTATGCCTGCATCGAAATTTTGGCCTCTGGCAAAAAGCTCCTATCCAATATTGCACGAAATCGCCCGAAAAGTTCATGCGATTCAAGCTTCGGAAGCAGATGTAGAAAGATCTTTTTCAATCATAAAAAACTTGTACACACCAAATCGTCAGAGCCTGGACTTAAAAATGCTGGAAAAGTTGATGATTTTCAAAGAAAAAGATCGATTCGACACAGGCGAGACTTGAAGATTTTGATGCATGAACACAAGCTTTTTTTGTTAATTTTCTTGAATTTGTTGTCATTTTCTCTCCCCTGTTATCTCAGTGTTGAATAAAAGATTTCTTGACTTCCTCCTTTTTTTTAATGCTCTAAATATCGAAAAATCGAGAAAACTCTCAAAAAATGCCTGATTTGCTGAAAAAGAGCGAGAAAAAACAAAAAATTAAAAAAAAAACGCAACTCGTAATCATATTTGCGAGGCCGGCCGAGGCCGGCCGAGGCCTCGCGAGGCTTTTTCTCAATGAAGCGAACTTGCGACGGCCTCAGCCGCACAAAATTGCGCGAGGCCTTCGGCCGGCCGAGGCCGGCCTTTTGGACAGCCCTGAGTTATTAACACAATTATGGCAGATAGGACGAAAACTAGAAATTAGATTCCTATTTAAAAGAAATATTTTCATATAATTCTCATTTCTTCATCTGAGAAGAAAATCATGGTAAAGTCAGCTAATTTCGTAAAAAAATTTAAATTTGAATTCCGCGGGCTATTCAAAGGATAACCATCCATGACCGCATGCTATCTCTTCGAAACCCAAAAATACTGTAGTAAATCAGAAAAACAAAACATTGGCCTAAAAGTGGGGTCATTCTCTCATTCTGATTTTTCTTTCACTCATTTTGTTCTTTCATTTCTAACTCCGCGTTTTAAATTTGCGTTACTTCGAATTAGAGCGTCGCTCTAAATTTTGACTGATAGTCAAAAACTTCATTCTGGATGGGCTGAGTCCTAATATCATAGCATTGGCATACCACTAGGAAACCGTTGGCAGCTTTTACGCCAATTTTGTGAATTTGTTCCCGGATATCTTTCCAATAATCCCTGCATTCACTTTTTAGCTTCTCCGTTATGATCTTCTGGTTCAAGCGACACTTCGATGAGGCAAAATTGATCTTATCTTTAGTTGAAATCAAGTTCTCCTTGTCATTTTTAAGCTTCGCATACTGCTGCTTAAGCTCCACTAGCTTCTCCTTATGATGGTTTGGGGTTTTGGAACGATTCTTCCGATGCTCCACAAGGAACACTTTGACGTTTGGAATGTTCAGTTTCTGATGCATATCAGCTCCGAAATTGAGATAGTTTGAGATTATCCTTTCGAAATGTACCAAAGTTGAGAGAATTTCTGATAGTGATAATAATGATTCAGAAAGATGAATAATTCAGAAAAATCAGAATAGAACTTTCCAAAAAAAAAATGAGACGTCTATTCAGTCAAGTCGTCATACAGGAGTAAATGAGTGTAAGATCGGCCAAAACGTGATTTTCGGAATTTTTCCGGTTTTTCGTTTCCGGGTCACGGTGATGGGTCCAAACTTTCGTACGTAGGTTTCGAAGGGAGACCTTTATTTTTCATGTTGACACCTTTTCACGAACATTGACCTAAATAGGTATTTCAGTGCAAGCGAAGGGTGGAAGCATCATTTTGTGGAGCACTGTACTTCACATTCTACAACACGCCCGTTGTATTCAACACTCTACTGTGAAAGGTCGAAATCAATGATTATCTTGATTAACAGGGAAGCTAACAGGAGAAGCGTGCGGCGCGCTTGTACGTTTCACCATGTACCGACACCTCCCGGGTTCCGCCGCCCGCTATGTTTTGTGTGTGTGCGTGTCTGCGTCTCTCTTGGTGCCGGCCGCCGCGGCTACACTCCTCGATACAGGATTTTGTGACCGTCGTATTCGGCTCCCCCGCAATCAAAAAAATTTTTTTTTTGAAATGAGCTCCTGGTGTCCAGTACTAGAGACACTCACACACAGAAACACTGAAAAGTAGGAGATAATTATCTTTTCGTGATTTTCTTATTAGACAAGCGGGAGTGTGTGTACGCGTGAGTCTCTGGGAATGATTCGAAAACTTACATTAGAAAGGTGACAAGAAAAAGATGGATTTGAATTATCCTAGTTCAGAAACTTATCATTAGGATCTTAAAGGTGGGGAGACATGAAAAAAATAATGTTCTCGAAATTCCTTTTAAATATGCCCCTCAGAAGTTGAACTTGTGGGGGCGATGATTGAGGGTGCGGCGCCTCTACCGACTGAGCCACGCGGGCAAAGAGAAAGATGCCGCCTGATTGCATACATAAAGGCGAGGACGACAGCTGTACGCAGAGTGACATTAAGCGTTGTACACCGTGACGGTAGAATGCATACCCTAGCTACCAAAAATCCTACGAAAAATCTCCTGTCCTCCCACCTTTAAAAATTTGAGATTTCGGAAATGCAGATTTTTGGAAAATCGGAGACTCAAAAACTTAAAAATAGAAATCTAGGTCATGACCAAGAAATTGAAATCTAGGTTATGACCCAGAAATTGAAATTTAGGTCATGACTCAAAAATAGAAATCTCAGTCATGACTCAAAAATTGAAATTATAGGTCGTAACTTAAAAACTGAAATTTAGCTCATGTCCTAGACTAAAATTTTCGAAACCATCTGTCGCGGCGCTTTTGTTCTACTCTCTTTCTTTGGGTGTCTCTCTGATTTCTACATTGTCTCAATGGGCAGATGGGCGACGCGATAGTTCAATATGACCTTTCTCCGCATTCGTCTCTCACACGCCCTGTATTCTCTATGAGAATTTGTAAAGTAAACAAAAAAGAAGAAGACAGATGTTTAGAGAGTGTAAAGCATGTAAGAGACGCAGAGGAACGCCCATAGCTAACGAACGAATGTCTCTTACCCACATCACTTTTTCCTCACGACGACTTACCGAATAGACGTCTTAATTTTCTCGGGAGTTTTCCGAAAATTCTATAAATGAATGGATTTCGGAGAATTCCCTTTTTGATTTTTTTCAATATTCTCTATTTCTATATTATTCTGATTATTTCTACTAGTCCTAAAAAATGAATGTGATATTTTTCTGAAAATTCAAATAGTAAATGTAAGTTTCCTTTTACAATATTTTAGATATATGGTTTTTATTTTATAGAGTCCGATCGAGGCATCTGGAAACTTGCCATCCTTGCCAAGAGCGACCAGCCTACCACCCACAATGGCCGCATCGGTTTCTCGTTCGACTCAGCCACCGCCAGACACTTCGAGCCAGCTCGCAGAAACCGCCTTGGAAGTATTACCTCGAGATTCCCACACTTCTTCGAAAATTTTCAAGCAGCCTCGTCCACAGATGACCTGCCTTCCAGGATGCGATGATGTGAACACTGAAGCTCAGGTGAGAAGAAAAACTTTATTATCAAGTTTGAACCAGAAAATGTTACAGTTGGAGTGATCGGTGGATACTTGTGACAGCAACAACGAGCGATTCTTCTTCCCGTAGATGGTTGGATCACTGAGAGACGATTCATTTTTTGATTTCATGTAGAACCCTTTGCAAAAAAAAATAAAAATTTGGTCTGTCCATAACTTTGTGCAAACAAGAGATCCGAGTCTAAAACTTGGAGCGTTAACTTGAAACACAACAAAAAACGTTTCTTTGATGGTTATGTTAGATGAGTAGGCTGGCCAAAACGGCGTTTTCTGGCGCCACATGCCGCTTTTAATTTTAGCATTGGCCGCCAGTGCCAGTTTTTAAAGCGGCGTGAATCGCCAGCAAAATTTTTCACAGGCATTAAACGCCGGGTTTTTAAAAGTTGTACTTTTCAATAGAAAATACTTCATAGCGAAAAGATAGAAAAAGAAAAAAAAACAACAGATGATCGACCCGAAACAGTCAAATGGAATGAAATTGATATTTTTTTCCTTCTAAATATTTTATTACTTCTGGAATTCTGTTTGAAATTCTGAAAATCTGGTGTCTGAAGCTTTTGAAAAATGTTTTCCGAAATTTCAGGATTTCAGAATTTTAAAATGTCTACATAAGGTTTTTGTGATTTTAAAAATTTATCGATTTCATGAAACTACACTTTCCTGGAAATTTCCGAACTTCGAATTTTCAGGATTCAAAAATTTTTGAGTTTCCTGGAAATTTCAGTATTTCCATCGTTTTTCAAAAACTATTGTTAAAGTTTCTGTACTGTCATGCTTTACATTTTTGACCGATCAAAAATGTTTTGATTCCTAAGTTTTTAAAATTTAAAATGTCAAGATCACTAAACTTCGGAGTTTTTTGAAACCTGCATTCTGAAGTCCCGAAAATCGAAGTTTACAAATTTAAATTCTAAAAGCCTAAACAACTACTTTTGAACTAAACCTCGATCCAGACATAATCACGATAACTACTAATGGAAGACTAGTGGTACCTTCTCAAATACCAAAGTCGTTCCAACATTTTATAATTCTCATTCTTTCCCTTTAACCTCAATTATCTGACTTCTTGTGAAACATACGACAAAACCGTCAACTGCCAAAATGTTTTTCTTGACATTTGGAGCATTTTATCAGTTGACAGTTTTTTGCTATCTTTCATAAAAACTGAGATAATTAAGATTGAAGCTACATTGAAGGGATAATAGTGACTCAAAAGGTAAATTCTATTCTCAAAAAGAAAGCGGCGTTTGACGCCGGCTTAAATTTTAAACAGGCAAATGTTGCCTGCTCAAAAATTTCGCTGGCTTTTAATGCAAATCACGTGAAATTGAAAGGCCCATAGCTCTGGTACTGGCGGCCAGCAACAACCCTATAGATGAGCATTGAGAAAGGGCTGACTATCCATCCTCCCAGTTTCACGGATCAAGTAAAATTCCTTCTTGGATCTGCACCCACTGCTGACGTTACTTCAGGTTTTATCAATTCTTCAAGTAGTTTTCGTCCTTTGAATGAAGCAAAAAGAGTGGCAACATTTCGTTTATTAGAAGTTAGGTAAATGATATTTGAATGATGATAGGAACGGAAAGAACATCCCATAGACGAGTTTCCACAGCCATTTCTATTATTTTATCGAACAGAAAATATAAATATAAAGATGAATGAACCTTGAAAAAAAATGGGTATTGGGCTTTTGATTCTTCCGCTTACCATTTTCACAACCGGTCATTGTTTGCCAGAAAATGTAAATTTGAGGTTTCGATTCTCGGAATGATCTCAAATGTGACATTTTCCGAACACTTAGCCATATAGGAATGTATAAAAAATCAGAAGCAGATAAAGTTACGTCCATTGAAGCTAAGCATATCTTGATTCAGAAAAAAATATATTAATTTTCATTGAAAGCTACAAGAGCAAAAATTTCGACGCCATCTAAACTATTTCCGTCTACTTTGTTTGTTCTGGATGCATGGAAAATATATAAAAATGAACTAGCAGCTTACTTGAAAATGAATAAACAGTAGACATTTTTGATAAAGATTTGCATATTTTCTTCGGATAGAATTATGTATTTTTGTGAGGATGGGTAGAAAACTAGGAATTTCTGAACGGCCATAATTGTTAAGAAAAATTGAAATACTTGAGTGAAGGTGATAATAACAAAGATAAACAAAAAAGGGGCAAAGAGGAATAAAACCGCGATTCTGCAAAATAACGTAAACACTCTAGTAGAACCTCACTTGAACCGTCAAGTTTGAGCCCATGTATCTCATTTTCTGAGAGAGATATCAAAAAAAGGTTAACTAATAAGATGTTGCTGATATCCTGATAAACTTTTTATTAGTTGACAACTTTTTGATATCTTCCAAAAGAAGTGAGGTATATAGGCTCAAAGCGGACGGCCCGGGTGGCGTTCTCTATAGAGTGTTCACGGTAAATGGTTCGCTTGCCCGATTTCAGACAAGCTTTTTGTAATTTTCAATTCCTTTTTTTTCACTTTTTTTCAATTTTGACAGTTTAAGAAACTGACATGAACGAGGTTCCGTGAATATAATCCAAAAGGAGGAGTGAAATCTCTGTAGAGAATATGAGATAATATATTGCATAGATCTTTTTCATCATTGTAAAAAAATGATCGATCATTGGGAATACCAAATTTTGAAATATTTAAATTTCAGAAATTTTCAGATTTTTTCACAGATACATTTTTATCCCGTTCTCGATTCATTCTATTGACGTACACATAAAATGCATACTTGTAACGGGCCGGGCCGGGCCGGGCCGGGCTTTTTCCCGAACTTCGGTGGCCCGGCCCGGCGGGCCTGTCATTCCACAAGTTTTGAAAATTTCAAAAAAGACATAAGGGGGGACCCTTATGTGATTTTTTTCGATCAAAAAAATTTTTTCCAGTTTTTTTGATATTTTTTGATCAAACAGACAAACATTCCAAAAAGCACAAGAAAATATATAAAAAATTGTATTGAGAGCTCAAAATTCGGTTCAAAAAGACAAACTTTTGCTACCGGGCCTTCCGGGCCGTGCCCGGGCCCGGGCTCGGGCCGGGCCGGGCCGGGCCGGGCCGGGCCGGGCCGGGCCGGGCCGGGCCGGGCCGAGCCGGGCCCGGGCTTTGGCGGGCCGGCCCGGAATTTTACAAGTATGATAAAATGGGAATATTAGTTGAAACAGAATAAAAGCGAACAGAATATAAACAGTTCTCCAACCAGTTTCATCTGTATTTTCAAGTAAAAGTATATTGGATTGAAACGGGGGAATCCAAGTTTCATTCATCTTAAAATTTGTGATGAATGGAAGTAAGGATGAATAAGAGAAGTTTTTTTTTGGAAGTTTAAGAAATGAACAAAATCATTTTCACCTGCTGTTGATATATTCTCAAAACTTGTGGCGGCCTACGAACTTGACGTGTTTCTGGAAAATTTGAAAGCACTTTCAGAGCAAACACGACTCTGAAAGCATGCTATGCATGTGCCTATGTTGGCAGCGAAGAAACACTTCCGTACATCTGTTTTGGTCCGAGAATTGAAGCTGTGGAACGTGGCACTAAAAACCAACTTCGACTTCAAAAAAAAGATCTGAATTTCATATTTAATTTTATAAAATAGTGGACATTTTTTTCAGGAGGGTCATTTTTTGGTCCAAATACCTTTTTTGCTAAAAATTTTAATTTTTCCAGGGAAGGGAAGAATATAAAAATACTGTCAATACAAAAAATGTTCAAAATTGTGCTTAAAAACGTTCTACAATACGACCTAATCATTATTTCACTTTTGAAAAAAAAACATTTTTAGACACCCCACGACCATATTTTTGCAGGTGGGGGACAATCCGGGACAAACTATATCTCGTATACCTTAGAAGTCTATAAACATACAATATATGGAAAATCGGCCAGAAAAAACAAGTTTGAATTTTTCTGTACAGTGGATAATAGGCCTGAAGTTGAGTTCTACAGAGAACGCGTCTTAAGACGCGTCTCAAAAATAGAAAAATCAGGTCGAGAAAATGGGAAATCAATAAACTGGGAGGAAAGAAGACGGTAGATGTCCGTGCTGTTCGTATGGGAGAATGGGGGGAAAGACGAGAAGGACGTGATGCGACATTGTGCACAGAGTCACCATTCAACAAGACGCACTGGTTCCAGTCAATAACGTGCGCACTGGTACCAATCGATAACGTGAGAGTCCAGAGGAGGTGAGCAACAGTGCGTGCAATATAGTACACCCCTGCGATCTTCCCATGCGGTTGGTAGAGCGTATTAAGACGCGTTCTCTGGAGAACTCAACTTCAGGCCTATTATCCACTGTACAGAAACATTCAAACTTGTTTTTTTCTGGCCGATTTTCCATATATTGCATGTTTATAGACTTCTAAGGTATACGAGATATAGTTTGTCCCGACTTGTCTCACACCTGCAAAAATATGGTCGTGGGGTGTCTAAAAAAATTGTTCTTTCAAAAGTGAAATAATGATCAGGTCTTATTGTAGAACGTTTTAGGTACTATTTTGAACATTTTTTGTATTGGCGCTGTATTTATATTCTTCCATCTTCCCTGGAAAAATTTCAATTTTTTGCAAAAAAGCTATTTTTTGGACCAAAAAATGATTGCCCTGAAAAAAATTTCCATTATTTTATGAAATTAAGCATGAAATTCAACTTCTACATTAAAAAATACGTTAGAAACCGTTTTGAAATAGAAGATAAACCTGAGCCCCCCTATGAGTTCTAAGCCAAAATGTGCCCAAAAATGAGGTTTCACCGCGTGGGGTACATGGCAACAAAAATTAGACCAAAATCGACCCTCTCCGGTTTTGTTTAAATTTTCACCAGATGTAGTGTTTTTGATGGGTAGCATTCTGACAAAGTTCCGAAATCCGTGCTCATCGTTTTCGTGCATTTTCAGAAGCACCAAAAAAGCGACAAAAATTGTTTCCAAGTCCATTTTCAGTGAAAAAAATACGAGCTCCAGAAACACAATTTTTACGAGCTCCAGAAACACCAATTTTTTAGACACCCCACGACCATATTTTTGCAAGTGTGAGACAAGTCGGGACAAACTATATCTCATATACCTTAGAAGTCCATAAACATGCAATATATGAAAAATCAGCCAGAAAAAAACAAGTTCGAATTTTTCTGTACAGCACTATTTTTGGTTCTGTCAAAGAATATGTCTTAATACGCTCTACCAACCGCATGGGAAGATCGCAGGGGTGTACTATATTGCACGCACTGTCGCTCACCTCCTCTGGACTCTCACGTTATTGATTGGTACCAGTGCGCACGTTATTGACTGGAACCAGTGCGTCTTGTTGAATGGTGACTCTGTGCACAATGTCGCATCACGTCCTTCTCGTCTTTCCCCCCATTCTCCCATACGAACAACACGGACATCTACCGTCTTCTTTCCTCCCAGTTTATTGATTTCCCATTTTCTCGACCTGATTTTTCTATTTCTACGAGTCAGGAAAATATGCCCATCTTTATAGATTTTTCTGCTGGAAAATTTGATAAAAGTTTCTGATAGCTGTCATCGCTCGCAAGATTTTGCGTGTTTATTCAACTATATCATAAACTAGACAAACAATTTTACCAACTAAGATAGTTATCATAAAATTCCTGACCATTTCTAATTTTCAAAACATCTCTAGCTCATGTGGAAAAAGTTATTAATTTTTAACAATTTTTAAATGTTTGGTTGTCCTGGATTTCTGCACGCAGAAGAATTTTTGTCGCCCGTAGAAATGTGGTCCTTACATCCAACATATATTCCTCTCCCGTATTGCGTTGTACACGAAAATCGTTTTTCAGAAATGGTCAATCGTAGTGTTCGAAGATCTCGCAAGGACGCTGCTTCCACTGAAAGGTCATCCAGCGGAGCCAATTTGAAGAGAAGAAGTCGGTCCAACTCTTTAGGATCCGAATCAGAAGATAATGCTCAGGTACAGTTTTTCTCTCGTATTGCATTTTGCACAAAATTCTTTTGGCAAAAAATTCGGGGGGTACAATGATTCGGGGGTACAAGGGGGTACAACTGATTTAGGGGTACAAAATTGGTGATTCGGGAGTACAAAATTCGTGGGTACAAAAATTCAGGGGTACAACGATTGTGATTCGGGGGTACAATTTTTTTCGACGAAGTTTCTGAATTCCTGAATTTCAGAGCTTGAAAATCTCAGAATTCGGAATCTGAGAATTTCGGAACTCCAGAGTCTGAGAATCTGAGAATTTCCGAATTTCAGAACTTCGAAATCTCAGAATTTCAGAACTTCAGAATTTTTAGAATTTCAGAACTTTGGAATTCCAGAATTCGCAATCTGAGAATTTCGCAACTTCAGAATCTGAGAATCTCAGAATTTCGGATCTTCAGGATCTGAGAATGCTAAAACTTCAAAATCTCAGAACTTCGGAACTTCAAAACTTCAGGACTTCAGAATCTCAATATTTCAAGAAAGACAATGGAGAACTGTGAAATGATTTTAACAAATTTTACAAACGGATTTTAATGCCAGTCGATACTTTCCTCACTTCCAATTTTTCTCAATTTTATTTCTTAATTCTTTTTCATTTCCTTTTGTTTCTCAATATTCCTTCGTTTTTTCCCAATTTTCCGTTTTTCCCAATTTTTCTTAATTTTCCTCAATTTTCGCGGTAATTTAAATTCTTCTCATTTTTAAATGATTTTCTAGATCATTGATTGAAGGAAACAATCACAATTTAGAAGTTTCCCACAAAATTCGAAAATCCCAAAAATTGGCCCAAAATGAGCTATTTTCTTTAGAAAATCGTTCGAACAGGCAATGAAACATTACAAAAACTATAGAATTGATTTTTTCGATAAATTACCACGAAAATTTGAGAAAAAATAATGAAAAACGAAGGAAAACGGAGAAAAATGGGAATTGCGAAAAGATCTCAATTTCGCGAAATTTTCCCATGGAAGAGAAAACCCCGCAGCTCGGCCACGGCCATGGACTGATGACGNCATCGCTCACAAATTTTATTTTTGGGATTTTCTCTGTTTTCCTTCGTTTTTCATCATTTTTGCTCAAATTTTCGTGGTAATTTATCGAAAAAAATCAATT